GTCACGTGACATGAGCCAGCGTTGCCATTGGCCGGAAAGTCAGATTGATTGACATGAACTGGTGCTGGACTTGTACTCACCCGTATTGTGTCATCTTCTCGGTCTCTGGAGCCAGTAGGGCGGCTGTACATCTGCTGCTTTTTCTCTTGCGCGCTAGTTAATGGACGACCCCCGCATACGTTGGATTATAAACTAATTTATCCCATGCAAACGATAAATTTGTTTTTATAATCTGCAGAAGCGACTAAATAATAATTTGCTAGTTTTGATGATTATGCAAAAATGTTATGGCGTAAACGGGAGTCGTCTTATTCTAGCTGAGGTTTAGATGGTGTGAAAACGCATAATCATTAAAGGTGGGGAAAGTAAAGCGCCATGGAAAAGCTAGGCTTTAAAAGCCTGGGTTTTCTTCCCCACCCAGCAGAAATGAGAGACTGGTTTTATCTGGTCTGCTCCAGCATAGCGCATACCACATGTTAATGAAGACGGTCCCATTTTGGGGGAGGGGGGTCACAGGAATGGAGTTCGTCGTGGATTACGCTAAATATTATCAACATTTCATGCATCTGGGGAAATAGAAAGTGACGCACAGGTAACGTAAATACCCAGTGGAACTCTCTATGAAGCTCCCATGGAGTTAAGGAAGACGTCATTTTTATTGTTGACAAATCAGTTATCCATGTAGGTGAACAGCGACAAGTGTTCGTCAGATTTTGACAGCGCGTGGTATTTGGCGCCAAGAAGTCTGGGCGGACGATCCTGCTGATCTTTCGGTCGATTGTAGTAAATGTAAGATCTTGCGGTGTTGACTTAAAGAACGTTTCCCCATCTGCATATATATTTCATTCGAACTTGAAAATAAATTGCTTATTCTTCCCAAACTTTTTATTGCTAGCAAACGCGATATATGGTCTATATGAAGGTGTTTACGACGTATTCTACCCACTGTCGATATTTGGTTTCATCCAGAATAGACCTTTTTTTAACCCCCCTCCCCCTCCCCAGTTACGGGCGTGATGAATCAGTCAGCGAGGGCAAGTCTGCTTAATTAGCAAAATTTGTATGTCTATAAGCACTATTATTGTCATAGGGGACAAAGGAAAAGACAGGTACGTCATGCTTCCAGATTAGATCTTCAATTAATTGTTTCTTCCTCATTGACGAGAGCTATTGAAAGGACAACAATTGACAAAGGGCCGAGGCATGCAGCATCTATTTCACTGGCTTGAAAATTTACAGTCTTGTCGACGATGTGGTCGAACAATCGGAACAAGAAAAAAATTCTGTCCCATGATTTTGACGTATGGACTAATATTGTTTGAGCCCAGAAAAATTAATTTTATAAAATAATTAATATAATATAAAATTTTATTAATATAAAATAACTTTTGTTGTCAGATTGACTGGGCCCGTCAAAATGCTTGGCACATTACCGTACATTGCAAAAGTGGACATAAATTTTATGTTACTGTCACGTGGAAAAAAATTCAAAACCTATATATAAATTGCTGAGTGCCATGGTATTACAGTCTACCTGATTGCCAGTGAAATTTCTGTTTCAGTGAAATTTTTTTAAAGCAGTCACTTACTGGCCCAGTTAATTTTTTCAGCTGTAACATTTTATAAATGTTCTTACAAAGTGTTGTCTTGATCTATAATAACCTTTTGAAAATCCCATGTTTTTGATCCTATTTGTAAGAATTAGCCACTTTATCTTCTAGGATCTTTTTTCATTCGGCCCATTAGATTCTCAGACCTTGCTGGCCTGTGAGTGGAATAGTATCTGGCACAGACTGGCATCAGCAAGTCAGATAAAAAAGAATATAATTATTTCTATTTGCACGGTTGAAAAAAATGCCATCATAGACTGCATAAAACTGGAAAACTGTAGCAAGTTAATCATTCTGATGCCGTCATAAATTACTGCCTATGTGTAAAATTTTTGATGCTTGAGTATAGAGTTGACTTAAAAGATATTTTAAGTTAATATAGTAAATAATAGTTTGAAATTCTATATTCTCATCTTTATTTGTTTCACTTTAAAGAGCTCAGTGAATACTAAAATTTCTGATATATTTTGTACATAAATATATTTATGAATGAATGAAAATTATTCTTAATGTTTAGCACTGTGCACTTGTTTAACGACAAATATGAACAGGGTTAGTACGTGTCAAATAATCCTGAAAAAAAGGGGGAAATTTCCAAGATAAAGAAATTTATAACGAGTATTTAGTAAACTGACATGTCGTGGCATTGCCTCAACCTTGGATTTAAATTTTACTTTAATTATAATATTAAAATTATACCGAGTGAGAGAAAAAAATAATTTAAGAAATTAAAAACCAGACACAAAGCGTAGGCACTGTCACAATGTATATGTTTATGGGACCCAAGGGCAGGAGGGTCCAAACGTTAATGTATTAATATGATGTCCTTTGGCAATGAGGACAGATGTTCACTTGAATGTCATTTTCACAAACCACAGTTGGGACGTTTTCTTTTGACTTCTCCTTGGTGATTTTTCACTGGGTTGTGCCATAAAAAAGCCATCTATCAACGACTCAAAAAAGCTCATGGCGACCATCCTCAGTCACCACCTTATAATCGCTTTCTATGATATCGTTCCCTTCATACACATCGTCCAAATAATTACATGTACCTGTGAAAAAAATCGTCAGCATACAGCGGCGCTTTGACACTACTGATCTCGGATTCTAACGCAAAATAACGCATATGAAATTTATCTCCAAGCTGAGGAGAGCGACACAAACGAAACCTTGAGACAGGAGGCCCCCCGTAGCTAGCTCCGCCCACCGTAACAGACATCGGACAATAGAGAGGTTTGCGTGTAATCTTCTGTTATAACTCCTTGGTTTCAGTATCATAAGTAACATGGTTTTCCCTTAATTGCTATCCTGGCAGCAGTGTCCAAAATAGGGTTTTCATGCAATATAACATAATACTTAACAGCATAATGGCCATCAATTTTTTTATAAAAAAATAAAAGTATCATGAATATTCAGAAAATGTGATGTGGGAAGGTCTTCAAGACCATGGATGTTCAGAGGTACACTTTCAAAATGCCAAAATGTAAACAAGAGATAACTGTACTGAAATGATTTTCTTTCCATTTTCAACACCTTTTTTAAAAAAAAAAAAAAAACAAAAAAAAAAAAAAAAAAAAATGATCAACTAGGAAAATTGTTGACATAGGAAAAATATCAATAGAACAATTTTCAATGTCCAATTTGCTCCATTTGCAGATTCTGAACATATTGAATGATTGAATCTGACAAACTGCAATGATGAGTTCCTTTCCATTTATGATACTTTATTACACAATGCACGATTACAGGTTTACCATCATTTTTATATAATCAACTAACAATATTGTTAATAAGCAGAAAATGTAAAAACAACACTTTTACATATCTAATTAGTTCCATAATGAGACTGTGAACATGCCTAAGAATTAAATCTGAAGAAATAACACTTAAATACAACAAGGCAGCAAAGCTGTCAAATGTACAGACAAAAAGCTGAAAATAACAATGCACAAAATAGGCTACTGTCAATTCTGATACAAAAGTACATTATGCTTAACTGCAAATTCAACATCAAATTTATTTATGCTCAACAGGTAACACCAATGTAAATAAAACGTGAAACAAGCATAAGGCTTCAGGCCCATGAGAGTTCACACTTTGAAAGTGCCAGAATGAGAAAAATGAAAATTTTACACAAAATTGCATAAATTCAATAATAAATGATAACCCAATTTCTAATTTGAACTGCATGCCAATCCTAAAAATCAAACTTGTAAGTTAAAAATAATAATAATAAGTAACACAGTTTCTTTTCATAATGTTTGTAGTAGCAGTGCATNATCCTTGAATCATTTTCGAAATGGAGATGGAGACTGATGAATTTCTATCTAACTCTTACGTCAAAGATTAGACCCATAGAATTGAAAAACCCGCTGAGAAAACGTGCATTTCATTTTATTGTCTAACAGTTTTGAATCGAGTATATCTTGGTGATCGAGGGACTATTGCTCAGACTACCAGGCTTCTATGCAATTTATGTATATGTTGAGGACAAAAGGTGTAATTATCGATTATACGTTTTGTTTTAAGGTTCAATAAAGTAAAATGCACATTATCACATATGGTATTTGACAGTTGTTACTTCTGTTTTGTATTTTGATAAACGGTAATAAAAAACAATTATATTTGCTACATTAAATATATTTTAAAAAATGTAAATTCGCTTGAAGTTTCTTATGAAGTCTATGTCTCTCGTAGTATAAGCGTTAGTCGCCTCAGCAACTTTAAAAAATTAAATTCTCATTTCTATGACGATTAATCTTTTGGAGACACTGCAAATTTATAAATAGAATAATCGAATTTTGGTTGTATGAAGCAAACTCTATTAAAGGTGTGCGAATTTTGGGTGTCTTACCTGTGGTTTTCAGATTTATTACAGTCGAGCGTGTTTGCAGCAAGAGCCTTTGGAGAAGGCCCGCGTGAAAACGGGCCTTTTTATGGTGTCGGAGTCTCTTTAAAAACTGATTTATTTTGAAAATCTTCAATAATAATAATAATAATAATAATAATAATAATAATAATAATAATAATAATAATAATAATAAATATCAAACATAAAACAAAGACAACAATTTTGTTTGACCTTTTTATTACCTTTTAAAATTTTTAAGGAACAACTTACTGAACACCACTCAAGTCGTCTAAGTCATCTACACTTTAGCTTTGTAACAAGGCGGAGAGGTTTTTTCACTGCTCTACCAGAGGTTCCAGCAGCCAACTGAGCGATCATAGTATTACGGATTGATTCTATGCAAATATTTAACAATACAGAAAAGGGCACAAAATTACCCAGAACAATATTTGTGAATATCTATTGAAAAATCAATATTAGACCATATGTGACCCTGGTAGACTATAGACTGTTTACACCCTCTGATAGTCTCATCTTGGCCTTTTTCGCTCTCCACAAGAGGAGGTCCGTAACGAAAGTGTAGTTGGTTTGGTTGTGAAAAATGCTGCAGGTTCTAGTTTTCACCGGGAGATGTATCAGTACTTCTGCCCGGCAGTGTTTCCGTAAAAATGACTACTACATTAAAGGAAGGAGATACCCCAAGAAATACTGGAATACGCTAGAGCGGAAGTATAAAAAACCTCACAGGTGAGTGTGTTTTGCCTTTAAATTAATGCATTGTTTGGAAATGTTATACTAATTGGTCCACTCGTATTTTTTTCTAATTAAGCCAGAGACTTGACATTTGACACACAGATAGCAACAAATCTGAGTATGAACAAAATGTGAAATGTTTTTGGTCTATCTCAATTTAGATCGTAAGTTTGTAAGCGGGATAATAACGACAACTGGGGTTTTCAGATAAGTTTATCCTTGGTAATCGAAATAAGAATTAAAATAAGACTAAAATTAAGGCTTCCAGAGAATCCTGTGCTTTCATAAAAGAATAAACCCGCTTACGGCACATCAAAGTCAAACATCAAACAGAACAAAAACTACACATCAAAAACGCCGAGCGCGTCACGGCCTCCACGAGTGTGCTGCGTCGTGTGCGGCCGATGACGTGGCTCACGACGTTCTGCGTCGTCAGTGGCGACGACGACATTGCATCAAAAATGTACAAGACAAAGAACAAAACAGGGTACAAGTTATTCAAGTTTAATAGGCCATTCACACTAACACTTTCGACCGCGGTCAAGGTCTGACCTCGGTCCCATCGTTAACTTTTCTAATGTGATTGGACGACATAACGACATATCGCGGTCGAAATAAACCCAGATCAGGAGCTGGGTTAAATCAGACTTATTTCGAATCATGGTGAAGACCAGATGTTTAGATATGGAATGTATGCGCACAAGTGTGCAATTAATCAACTGATCTCGTTCGCAAGAAATCCTCGCAGCTATTTGAGTACTGTGAGTATGGTCGGAGAGTATAACGCAAATTAACAGGAAGCACCAAGAATAAAATGGTCTATTGCAAAACAGGCTTTAGGTTATCTGTATCACCATGCCTACATGTAGAATTAGTATCTTAACTTTTGTCACCGTTATCATATATCTGATATAGAATAATTTAAATATAAAGGGTCTGATTTTTACTTATCGAAACATTGGAGTGCATGCTGAACAGTATGATTGCTTAAATTCTATCGCTACTGATCGCTGCCGGTATCAGTGTTCACCCAAATAATCTCGGTTTAGTTGACCGCGATTCAGTCAGAATTAACTAGACCGCGGTTAACTTTCTAATGTGAATGGCCTATTAGTGGCAGGGGCGGATTTAGGCCGTCTTCTGGGTCTTCCGGAAGACGGTCAGATTTTCAAGTTTACATTGACGGGTATCTATTTTTTTTCTGTTGGAAGACGGTCAAAATTGGAGGATGAATCAACAAAGATAATTTGGAAGACTGTCAGTAAATAGCTTTGGATCCGCCCCTGAGTGGCACCACTTAGTGATGCCACTTTCTAAAATGAGTCAAAAAGCCAGCGTCATCATTCTTGCCTTCTTTGCTAAAAAGCATCAGCTAGACCTTAATGCGCAATACATTGCATTGCAGTGTGTTAGTAGATTTATGACATTTATACATGTATACAGTATTTGCACATTGAAATAAAAATAAATCAAATAATAAAATGAAAGGTCCATATGAGCCAAGCATCGGTGGAGCGTGGATTCCCAGTAACACATATAAACCACTACTACTAGTTTCTTATATGACTCAAATAAATTCCACGTGCCGAGGGATAAACTGAATAATTTACTCGATCAGCCATAAAAAAGCTTTAGACTGGTTCTTTTCTTTAAACTTTTGGTCAGAAATTTAACCTACTTTTTAATTTGGTAATTCTCGTATTTATGCTACTTGAAATTATATGCTGGCTTTTGTGGCAAAAAAAATAAATAAATAAATAAAATAAAAATAAATAAATAAAAATAAAAAATTAAAAATTTAAAATTGACTTCATATGAATCTTAAAGTATTTATTGCTTAAATAATTGACTTCATATGAATCTTAAAGTATTTATTGCTTAAATAATACTTAGGAAGATGTTCTCCTTCTCAATCTGATACCATGGGCAGAGCAATTGATTTATTGAAAAGGGACATCTTTTTAGTACTTATTCAGTCAAAAACAGGTTTTGGGTTACTGTTTTTTTTTTTCATTTGCAGTACTAACTTCATTGAGCAGAAAGTTAATCTGAATCTCCCGCAACCATCAGTCCGAGCTCCTTATGATAGAAGATATCCCCTCAGTGGAAAATCTATTACTCCATACACAGAAGGAGGCAACAGCAAATTTCCAAAATTGTGGTCTAAGATTACATCAGTTCGTAAGTGTTATCACGGTCTATGGTATCAGCACTGGGTCAATGCCAAATGTCAGTAAAATTGAGTTCAGTGCAGAAGGTTTAAAGCTTTTTTTTTTTAGACACTGGCTACTTTTTCTTCTCTGGACCAGGAGTTGCTAAAACCCTTATGCTCCAAGGTCCAGTAAAAAATGAATTAAATAATTTTGTCAGAAGCTATATTACTCTCTGGTTCCTAATTGCCGTCCATATACAGGTATTTATTTGGACAACAAATTTCACACTGTACAGCCTTATTCGAGACTGTGGGCTTACTAAAAATCTGAGTTTCCCCACATACATATAATGACCCGTTTTAACGCTTAAGCGAGGTCCATCATAGTGGGGCCCTGTGTTTACTCTAGATTGCGACAGCAGTGCATTTCAGGACATATACGCAATCACATCCAGTCGCACTCATATCACTTGATAGATTTCCAGTTCTTTATTGGTCAATTTCCAATTTTCCACCCTATATGTTTATTCAGGACTGTACTATTCTTAGATTTTGTGAATTTTTCCCCGCCCTATACTACTATTTCAAACCATGTGGCAATAAGGAACTAGAGAGTAGTCAGCAGTGTAAATGCAATGTTGTTGAGGAATGTACCTATTATATAAGAGATAAGCCAATGTCTCCTTTTCACATTTTCCTCTCAAACTTCAACAGCCTGTTGACAACTGACAGGTGTTAGAAATACCTTTAGGCAGTGGGAAGATAGTAGCAGTAGTTTGATTTTTATTATAACTTTTAAAAGTATGTTTTGAAGGCATTTTCTAGCCTCCGTCAATTTCCGTTAAGCTTCGGCATGTGCGACAGGAATCATATATTGGCAATAACACTCCATCAGATAGCAAGACTTGCTGACTGAGTGGCAACATCTTTGGCTGCCTAAGACGGGGGAGTGGTTTCGATTCCCACTCAGTCCTGATTTTTCCTTTAATTTTTAAAAATCATTATTATATGCTAATCTGCTATCATGGTTCAATGATTGATGTGGCAGGTAACGGCTAGTTCATTTTTAATTGGCTTAAGATAGCTTAAGCAATATCTGGTTGGAAATGGACTGGTATGTTGCACAGGGATCTGTACATGTGCATTGTTGTTTTGAACAGGAGGAGGATCTGGGGTTCCAGAGGTTGGATACAGGCTGCCCAGTGGAAGTTTTCGCAAATTACAGGATTCAGTGCCAGAGTTCATTGTTCCTGATCTAAAAGGATTCCCGGTAACGTATAGTAACCACTGCATGGCTAGCGAAGTTTATAGATGTCAGGAGAGACCTCCTAAGCCATAGTATTTTATGTCTCCTGTCTTATAGTGATAGATTCTTCTCGTCATTTGTGTGTAACATATTATTATTACTACGTAGTATGTTTGACCCACAGGGCCTCCATGAGTGCCTTTCCTTTTTAAAAAAAAAAGATTTTAAAATCTCATCTTTGCTTTCATTTTTTTTTTTTTGTTGTTGTTGTCTATTGATTCAAGTTTCAGGATAATAGATTAACAGTACATTTTATGCACTATCAACTATCATGATTCTGATAATAGTAGGGGTGGGCAAATGACATATAAAAAGCCATCTTTGAACTGATATTTAAAGATTTACATGAGAAATATGTGATTTGAGGGAGCGTTTGGTGGCCATTTTGAAAAATCACCTGATACCAATATCAGATGTAATTTAAAATAAAAATACTTATTAGATTTGTATTCAGCAGCCAAAATGGCCATAGAATCCACTTGTCTGAAATTAAATTTCCCAAAAAAGCTTTCATTTGCCCACTCCTAATAATAGTTCTTTATTTTTCTGTTCCAGCTAAAGCCCTATGTATCATACCGTGTGAAAGATATTCACCAGGAGCCGCTGACTGCCAAGAACCTGTTTGATGCTTGTGTCCGGCCAGACATAGAGAGAGATTTTGATCAAGGAAATCTGGATGTGGACAAATATAAGTTAAAGAAAAAGGAAGTGGATATATCAGACATAGACTTGGGAACAATATACAAGTCTCCCTTAGCATGAAGTGGTTTTGTGAAGATATTATACGAGTTTCATTGATTGTGAAGTTATTGGTTTGGCAATGAAAACAAAAACGCAGATATCCTGTACAGAAGACACAGTATCTGTCCGATTTATAACAGGGGCGGATTTAGGCCATCTTCTGGAAGACGATCAGATTTTCAAGTTTACATTGATGGGTATCTAATTTTTTCTGTTGGAAGACGGTCAAAAATGGAAGATGGATCAATAAAGATAATTTGGAATACTGTCAGAAAATATCTCTGGATTAAGCCCTGTATAATATCTGTATTATAAACTTTTAGAATATCTAAAACATTAAGGATTTATATTGCCCAAGTTAGCATTTCTGTTTCATTTTAGACGGGTCTTCTGTTGAAAATAAAAATACATGTTATAAATAATTACAAACGTTGTACAACATGCAATTTGTTTTGCTGTTTTGTAGTGAAGGTAATTTAAATAAATATATAATACATATCAAAAATAAGATTATAATGAGGTTAATGAAGCTTTTGAGTTTCTTGATCTGCAGCGTAAAAATATATACTGGTATATAAAATGACACTGACATCCAACTGACTGGTAAGATCCCAATATCTTGGGCATTTTTGCTGCTGTATTTGCGAATTTCTTACATTCAAGAATTGAACCACAAAAATCAACACTTCTTTCTTTGTATTTTGAATTTATTCTCGTTTCATATTGTACACAAACAAGGAGCCTAACGAGCAATACACTGAAATTTCCCATCTTGTTTTTTATTTATAACTTTAATATTGGATCATCTCCCACTTGTGAAATAGAAATTTTATGTTATGCCACACCTGCTTTCTTGCATGGTGAAATATTATACATATAAATAATAAAGGTCTTGGCCTGTACCTGTACTTTTATTTACTTATCATAATAGTAATAATAAACAGTAAATATTAATAGCAATCTCTTCTCTCTAAAATGCCTATGCCAGTAGGAAGTTCTATACACAATATGTACAATGTTACAGGAGCTGCAAGATTGCATCATGAAACGTCAATGTGAATCTTTCTTATGATTGATTTTCACTTGGCTTGGAGTCAGGTACAAACACACCAAAGTCACAGTGACAGGTGAACAATACCTTCCTAACACCTAGCAAGCTGGTTATCTATAAACAATGTAGAACACTTATCTTGAATGACATAATTAATGACATTTTTTTTAGTATTGCACACAATTTCAATTTGTCAAGCTCTCTTTAATTATCATACAGTAGAAAACATAACTTGGACTGTTAACAAAGAAAACGTTCCCTTGCGGAAGGCGTTTTTTAAGTCGAGTCTCTCCAGCATGTGTTCCACCCTGGGTGGATAGATACACAAAAATAGAAGATAAGCCAACTGCACCCTTAGTCGATTACTTACCAACTGGTGTGGTAGATGGGGGAAAAACCAATGGTTATCTATTTTAAGTTCAGGGAGCAGACCAGTCCAACTATAAGGGTCTCTATTTGAATGGCCGACTACAAAAGTCCAAAGAAAATATTGGGACTGTCGTGTGGCAATAACGAACACAATTATGCAATTATAATGTAGTGCCTTCCTACAGTAAGTCTAATTTACCTTGCCAATGACTTTATTACAAACAACACTCGTTAAAGTATTATATTTTGACATCACTTTCTTATCAAAAATGTAATTGGCATCTTATCTTTTCTCGTACTGTGCAGTGTGCAGCAACCCTTCCTTTACCAGTAATGCGTTAAATAGATGCTTGTGTAAGGCATGGTTTTCTTTTTGCCATAGTCAGTGCAATGTGAAATTTAGTAATTTAGTTCAAATTAAGTTTTTCATCTCACATATTTCAGAGGCTAGAAAAGGCATTGGGTTAAGTCTTACAGAGTAAGGAACAAGGCCGAGTTGAAAGAGACGAGATATTATGTGAAGATTCTACATGTGACATTATGCTCCAAGTCAGTCAGAAAGTACTTTCCTTGTGTAAGCTATAGAGGCACAAGGAGCTCAAAGTGAGACGGGTTCTTGCTGCCACCTTAAACCACACAGCATGTATTTGTTGTGGCAGTAGACAGATAATGAATGTAAGGACCTCAGCAACATCAGGCAAACAAAGAGCTGATCAAGTGCCTGATCCACAGTATGAGTGGTAAGCCACTAAGGTATTACCAAATAACCAACATGACATACTTGATAAGACCTCCATGTGAGTCCAAAATTAATTTGAAACATCTCCTGTCCAACCAATATCTCATTATTTGAAAGGCCTCCTTTATTTTTATCTGAAGTTTGTTGAGTGGATGGTCAGGTTTTTAGCTCCTGTACAACGAGTTTTACACCCTACTAAGTGCTAACATGAGCAATTTAGTGCACCTCTATTGGATCAAGAACATTTTAATCCAAATTTAAAATCATCCTGTATCATATTCCTGTGTATTATGTCACCTGTTTTCTTTTCCATGTACAATGAAAGAAACTCCTGTAGCAAGTTGAAAAGTTTTTAAAAATCTTCCCTGAACAAGCGATACAAACTTCTGCTGTTGTTGAAGCTATAATTAATTTCTCCCAATAAAACAAAACCCCTGCAGTGCACTTCTGAAGTTGGGTACCTTTTCCCATAAACAAAACACATCGCTGTGTTCCAGTTTTATCATCACTGCTGCTGGGCACTTTGGAGAAGAATGCTGAAACCCCTGTATCACATCATCCTAGCTATCCTTAACTGTCTGGTCACTATTGTCTGGTATGGACGGGGCGTCCACTAACTCCTCCTCCTCACTGGAGTCTGACCCCTTGGCCTGCTCCTCGCTGTCGTGAAAGTCCTCGTTATCGCTGTCCTCGGCCCCCTTACCACCGGGGGTGTTCACGCTCTCAGTGACCGTCTCACTGTGTTCGCTATCAGCGACAACTGTTGCATCGTCTTTGTCATCCTCCTTGTGCTCATTGTCACTGTCACTGCTGTTGTTATCGTCGTCGTCACTGTCGTCTTTCCCTGGTTGTGTGTCGGGATGACTGGCAATGGACATCTTGGTGGGTGAGCTCGCCAGGCCTACTGAAACAGACAAGATAGGACGTCAGTGAGGGTCCACAAGCTCTCTGGATGTACACTACATCACCTACAGCCTGAGATTCTTTTAAAGGCAAAATAAGTGTGTAAAAACAAAAAGTTTATTTTCTTGGAAATTATAGAGTTTCTTCATTAATCATCAAGGCACATATCCAAACTGTTAACAGAATTAACCTTTTTTTTTTAACCATTTCAGTAAATAAATTTTGTGCTCTATAACATCAATTTACAGCTACACCATAGAAGCTGTCCTCACCTGAGTCCTCACTAGAGGTCACCACAGTCGGCTGTTCCTCCACCTCAGATGCCGTGGATGCCTCAGAGATAAAACTTTGCGGCCGGCTCCCTGAGGACCCTCCTCCCAGATTCATCATCACCATCATCTCGTTGATTGCTTTTATCTGGTCACGGAGGTCGTCCATTTCTTTCACTTTCAGACGCAGGTCCTCCTTTTCTTTGTCAGATTTTGACATGACAGTCTGAAAAGTGTATCAAAAAGTGTTGTAGTGTCACACAATAAATTTCTCTCTGCCAGCTTAATACACAATACATAATCTGTAATAACCTCAGTAAATATTTCAACATGATATGTGCATGCTCATACTAACTAGCAAATATTGCATTCCTGTATATTTCACAAGAGACTGCACGGCCTCTAGGTGAACACAAAAACTTGCTGCAGTAATACAAGAGCTTTGTTGTTCTAAGAATTGCGTCTGACTGAACGATAAAAATACCACTGACTTACAAGCAAAAATATTGTCCAAGTACGAAAAGTAACAATTCCTGTGTAAGAATTTACAATGAGCTTCTGATAACTGCAATGTGTTAGATGTGACAATGTATTGTGTTGGATATGACACTATGTAAGATGCTTCAACATCTTGCCTTAGGCAAAAAAAAAAACAACCTACCAATAACTGTGTGAGAGCCTCTGATAAACTTCTAGTAATTGCATTGAGCTTGTCAGCAGGAAGAGATAGGTACAGTTGTTTGTTCTCCACACGCACAGTGGCTTGCTCTGAAAGACATTAGTGCCACATACTATATACGTTCACTTCTGCCATTTGGATCATCTGAGTGACAGAGCAACTGTGACAACTTTTTTTACTTTGAAATTTCCAAACATGTCCACCTGTCCAATCTGAACTTTAGTGGTGGCTCATTAGAACTTACTGCATCAATCTCAAATGTTACATGGGTCTTTTAACAGCACATGTTCTTTAGTGAGCATTGTTTTATTCTAATTTTTAATTATGTATTAGTAATGTATCCGTGTAGTCTTACCGGGCGGCGTGTCCTTGTCGACCCTGAGAGCATCGCTGACCAGTGCAGTCAGTCTATTGGTCTGGAGGATAGAGCCCAGGATGAGTTCCTTGGCTTCCTTCTCTCCCTCTAGAGCACATGCCAGCTGGAAGTGGAGAACACGTGCTTTAATTAAGGGTGATAACCCTATAAATTCAAACAACTTACGTAATATTGTGCCTCAAAAATTTTGTTGTTAAAATTTAATTTAAAGGTGGATTTAAAAGTTTTGTAAAATTAGCTGGTTTTGTATCTCATAGTATATTGTTGTGAGTGTCTGAGAATGATTTTTTTTAAATATTAGAAAAAGAGAGATACTGAAAAATTAATGTAATTAACACTTCGTTAATCAACAGTTTACCTGTTGTTTCTTTTCTTTGTTATGAACGGTTACCAGATACACAAAACTGATGAATTTTCTTATCATTATGAAAACTTCCTCTTTTGAATGAAAAGCATCTTTACACAAATGGATTGCACATATTTAAGTTTTTCTTTCAATTTGATATTTTTTAAAGGTTTTCTCTCTCTCTCTCTCTCACCTCTGCCACATTTTCAAACTCAGCAGGCTCAATCTGTAGAATTTCCGCAGTGATCCGTTGCTTGTCTTGCAGTGCTTGCCTGATCTGTTGGTCTTTTTTCTTTAACGACTCTAAAAATAACAGCATTGGTCTTGTAAACCTTTCATGGCTCAAGTTTTAGTTCTCAAATTATAATAGCTGAGCTTATATCTCTATATAAGTATTAAAATAATGAAGAGTTCTAACTTCATCTTTACATTTGTTATTAAATCAATTATCAATCAGGACCCCTTTTTCTCTGTAAATATTTTTAAAAAGATGCTCACAAATAAAAGCATAAAGTTACAATCAGTACAATTGGACACCATTTCTGGATATTGAGGGGGGGGGGGGGTAATTACATCAACCATTTCACAATATATACCCCTAACAGCACAATTAAGTGCATTTTTCAGAAAGTACACATCACAGTAGTAGTAATCATTATTTCTTTAACTCAGGCCCTACCGTGCGGCGTCAACATGACAGAGTCTGCCCTCTGCATCACTTTCTCCGTGACCACTACCTCAGCTGGCTGGACAAGCTGTGGCTGGTCCGTGACCTGGACTACCTCATTTCTGTCCAGGTTGTCCAGGCTCTCCACACTCTGGCTCTTGGCTCGGTTCAGACTGCTCTCATCACTGATAACAATGAGAGGAAATTTTTTTACTTCAATTATTTATTCATTGTCTGTAAAATTATACAAATGAGCTGAACATCAATCAAATTATACTTTTAGCACCTGTGCTATACTTTATGGGCATATTTGGGATGAAGAAAGCCAAGATATGTATTACTCCGTGCATATATTAATTTCAAGTATGCCATGTGTTTAAGAGGCAAAATGCCAGAATCATCAATCTACTCAACATAGTTCAAACTTGGGAGTCCACCCCCTTTGAATATAACTGAACAGTTTATATATATATATATATATATATATATATATATATATATATATATATATATATATATATATATATATATATATATATCAAATACCACTTTATTTTATGTTAGTAAACTTCACTGATGATCAGTACGTCCTATCTCCAGCACTCACCCTGGTTTTTCTTCTTTCTCCTCCTGTATCCTCCCCGAGTCATTGGTTGCCACGCGGGCATGGCGGCGCCTCTGAAGGGGATTCTCTTTCTCCCGACTCTTATGTGCCTCTGCAGCTTCTGTGATGTGCTTAAACCATCTGCAAATAGAAAGAAAGAGTGGTGAGAAATCTTGAGTTTAACTGTTGTTTTTTTGTAGCTTGAAACACAACTGATTGTTTTTTTTTTTTCGATAAAAAAAGAAATATACAGCCCTGACTATGCCATGTGACTGGATTGAATAAAAATAAATATCTCATTGGCAGGTAAAACCAGTTCACATCAGTTGTACTGTTTATCACACTTCATACAGAGGTAATTAGGTTTGCTCGATTTGGTTTTTTATGAAAAGCTCAAGAATCATGTACATCATTGTAAAAATGGGTATAAACAAGCTTGTCAAAAATGATTTAAAGGAATAACTTTCAAAGAACTAAGCATGCCTTCATACCTAAAATAACCAATTTTCAATGCCATGATCTCACCTAAGAATACAACAATAATTTGAAAGGAAGTAAAACTGAATAGGCGACGAAAGCAGTAAACCATTGAAAAAGAAAATGGGAAGGGATCCTGTTACACACTGATAATCTGACCTCAAATATTTGTTGCTTATAACAAACAATCACAAATACCTTCTACAAGTCTTGACAGGTTGTTTTAGGGCCTCATGTCTAACTGCAAATATAAAGTACCCTGACCAAACTGTAACTGCCACATAAAACTGCTTCCTCACAGACGAAAGTAAACCTATGCATAATGTTGAAACGGACTTCAAACACAGACTTATCATTCCAGCACCTGACACTGCAAACAACTTATTTGTTATTCTACAAGGATCACTTCTACATAAGAACTTCAGCTTATAGCTGGTCCTTGCTAGGACCATTATAAAAGTACATTGTTTTCTATGGTAAATCAGTAGTAGTAGACCACTTGAAAGAAAACACTGCACTTTGGATTTTGTTGAGATGAGGTTAATATACAGACTAGTTCTTATAAAACCCTGCAGGTCCACGTAATACATTCTTCAGGGACCTCATGTTATATTTGGTAATCAGTCATATACCTCTGATTAATTTTTACCTTTACAAGGTAATTATCACCTTAAGTGTGACTGTTTTGTTAAAACTAGGCCCATTTAGCAAAAGCATAACTAGTTAGCATACCCAAGGAATGCAGACATCCTATTTTATATGCCATTTCACCACACAAACACCAGGCCCCAGAATATGCACTAAAACAATTCCAACAAGCCACAAAAAGCTATTACTTCAAAGTTCTTTTATGCAAACATTATTACTTCTGCGACCTAAGATCCATGTAATGTAAGCAAATGGGAGGAATGGAAAAATATGGAATTCACATTTACTCCATGATTCATACCAACTTGAGATACTTGATGAAATCAGTGAAGGGTTTTAAGTGTTAAAACACTTCATGTACATCTGAACCCTTTTAAAACTATTTGTAACAACAGCATACTGATATTTCATGTCATTCTCACCTATATATACAAAATGCAAGGAGTCCTATGTCTTTCTAATGGGTCTCTACCTGAGCCTGGTTTCACTAAAGACCTATAGTCTGGGTCTAAGCTTTTAGTCTGAAGATGGGTCTAAACTTTTAGACCAGAAACTTGGTCTATTTCAGTTCAAGATGACTGAACAGTGATCTACTTCATCAAAGTCAGAATTGGTCTGGAATATTTGCCATTACTCTCCAGTTATAAAACAGGAACAATATTTCACTTGATCAGACTACTACCCATTTAGCAAAGGTTAAAGTAGACTAAAATTTCAGTCTAAAACTTTAGACCAATTCTTACGATAATACTTTTTTTTTTTGCAAAAAATGTCCCTTCTATTCAAAGATACATGCTTCTATGTGACAGGTGAAGACAGATAAACAAGTTATCTGACATTGCGGCAGTTAATATGCCATTAAAAGAACCTAACCTGATTCTTGTTCCTGTGCCTTGTTCAGGTAATTGCAAACATGTCACGCCACTCACTGCAGCAGCCTTTAACAGCTTGTTCCTGGTGACTTCTCACAAATATATGCCAGTTTATTCCAGTGTTTCTTTTCATATTTATCAATATTTATCAATTTCAGTCTCTCCCTCTCTCTCTCTCTCACACACACACATACACACACACAAACACAGAGCCTTCTGCTACAAGTTTTGTGCTTTCTGGAGCTTTTAAATTGTCCTTTGTTAAGTATCATGTACAAATTTTTATTTCAGGAAATTTCTTAATTTTTCTCGTCCTATGTGATTAATTCAAAAATATATTTATAACATAACTCTCCTCATGACACCCCCATTATGCTATACTTTGGAACATCCCTCTCTTTTATGTACAAGGACCTCCACCCTCAGATTTATGGGCATTTGATAGATTGTTGACTTTGCGCTACATTTTTCTGTCCATAATTTCAGGTTTAAGTGATCTAGTTCACCACCATAACCAATGCACAGAATGAACTAAAAATGCTGCATAATTATCACATTATCATAGTTCTGCAAAATGGAGTTCCACAAAGTATCAGTATATTCTATACTTACATATACCTATAATGACTCCCATAAAGTACAGTCTCCTTGAGTCATCTTTCTGTTAGAGTGAAGGAGGGTTAGTATGACTTTGATAAGTTCAGACGTAATCTTACTTTTTATTTTAAATATAATTTCCTACTTCTATAAACAAGTTCTTCTGAACTCTAAACACCTCATAAGATCCTTCATACCCATACTTGATCACCATGCTCAGTCATGGCTCTCGGTTTCCAATAACTTATCCCACAGATCATGCTACCGGTCAAACACAACCCGCTGTGATTTATTAAAGAATAAGGATCTGCCATAAACATTAACAGAATATTGGTCTTATCTTCTCTCGAACTTGGGAGTGCTCCCTGTAGGAAGACAACAGGAGGAACATCTTGGATAGTCTGATAGAGGAGAGAGCTTCCTGCCTGCCTGGCATATGTAGCTCAACTGGCTGTGCGGCCAGCACTGACCATGATTAATTCCCATTTGTAAAATATTCATGGCATAGACCACATCAGAAAGTAATGAAGGTTTGTGCATGTATGTGCAGGCAAGTTTCGGAGAGAAAGTGAATATAAGTTTTAGTGTGAAATATCAAAGGGATCTCCATTCTATTCTTCCTCTTACTCTCTCTCTCTCTCACACAACTCTCTCTTTCACACACACACACACACACACACACACACACACACACACACACACACACACACTAAACAAACGACCACAAAAAAACATTTGCCCATGATCTAAATGCTAATCGTTGGTTGCCTAGGGAGTTTATCAAGACCAGTCTCATAGGCTGTATTCCATTTCCTTCTTCTAAATGAATGCCAACTTTTAAGAATAGACACCATAAAATCAATGGATTGCTCTGGTAGTTAGGGGCAATGTTGTGATATCTTGTAGTATGTTGTCTCAGTACAAATATAAATATGTGTATCCAAACAGTCCGTATTGACTACCAGTTGTCAACAATAACTAACAATTTAGTTCAGGGAAACAATAAGTTAACTTAGATTTGCAAAACTTGAGGTCTGTCTCACAAGAGCTTTTGGTTAAAAAATTGTCATAACTTTTAGGCCACAATTTTAGCCTACTTTGAAATCAGAAGTTTGATCAAATGAAACATTGTGCCTCTTTATAGAAGGAAAATCACTGTTTGTTCCAGACCAGTGCTTACTTTATTCAAGTGGTCTAATATGAATTTAGGTTCACCTGAATTCGAACCACATTTTAGGTCTAAAAATTTTGACTAATTTTCAGGTTTAATTTTTTTTGTGACCCCATCCCACTTACTGCTCATCTTTTCCAGCTCTAAATTATATGTTTCTACCACTATTTACATGTATCTAATTTTTCAGCATAGCCATGTGAGCATTTTAGGGACAAAATTATTATGTGCATATGAGTTTTCCTCACGTATACAGAAGCATTTATATGCTTGTTTATACATGAAGACAACATATATATATATATACATCACCCGACAGTATGGTTTTGGTGTATGAACAAGTACTAAGAAATACTTTCACCATGGTATACCCATGGACATTCTACAAAAATACCAATATTTCAAAGCCAGAAACTACTGTTCATATTACGTACATGTATCTAGCCCTATATACTAATGTAATGCCAATGATTCACCTAGGCCTGGATAAATATCACTCCCTGCATAAAACTGAAGATACCAGGTATAATTTATGCATACTGACATCATCTTCAAATATAAGAACACATCTTCCATTTGATTTATGGAGGTAATTACTTTTTTAAATTTACACAACAGGAATACATTATCCTTCTCCCCTCGCCCAATGAAATATTTATTTAGAAATACTGATTCATAATTTTTTGAAGTGATTGGATTTCCTGTCATAAAGTACATTTTTGTGGGTGTCTAAAAATGAATACCTTGTCCCCACCCCACAAAAAAGTAAAATATAACAAAAAGGGCTCTATTTACGCATTTAATTACAGTACCAACATTATAACAGAGCACAGAGGTTGTAGTAATTATGTATTCACTTCACATCTGCTGTCTCTGTAATCTACAGAGCATCTGTGGCTGAGTAAAATCATTAGTGAATCTATTCAGCCCTTTTATCAGAGCTGCATCAGGCATTTATCTCAACTTGAAGTAGCTCTGAGAAAACAAAATGAAAAAAATATTGAGGACATGGTCTATGTTGAAGTGGACAATAACGTAAATCCTTTCAATGTACTTCTAGTCATCTTTTCCAAGACAACTGCGCAAATACAAAAAGGTACGCTGCTTAACTTGCCATAAATAACCTTGTGACTTGTCATTAGTTAAAGGTATGCATGTGTTCCTCCCATCAACCCACCCCAAAAAGTCTTCACAACAGCTAATGTCATATGAATAGTCATAAAATTACACTGTTAATGTCACAGCAGAGCACTGTCACAGACATTCCACTGTCTACAACAATGTAGTCATCTTCAAGCTTGTTCACATCTGGCCTAACTTAGAGCGGAATATAACATAAATGACATCAAGTTGCCTGAATCACACAGGCCTTTAGG